TCTGAGATCGTGAATGGGCGGTTGAAAACGATGTTAAAGGATTTACTCCAGCGCTTTAGAATCTGTGATTTCTCCGTCGGGAGTGCCGTTCCATCGGAACTCAGAAGCGATGCGGTTCCCTTGTCTGTTGGACCGCAGTTCGCCTTGATTTATGAGAATAAATTCTTCGTTTCATTGCAGTTGACGTACGCTTAGATTTCCCTGACCTTACGATTCATCCACACATTTTGCATCTCTTACAACCGCTGTTGCACCAGGCAGCGAAGCCTGAATAGGGCTGCTTCGAATAAGAAGATACGATCTTCCGAACTGATTCCTGCAATTTGCCTATTCACTTCAATCGGCGAAGATTGCTTTTTGAAGAAGAAGAAGAAGAAGAAGGAGAAGAAGAAGAATACACGATCGCCCCTGATGATGGATTCGAGCAGGAATCCGAAACGTCAGGCTAATAAAGCTCTTGTCCCGGCGATCGTTTCTTCTTCTTCTTCTTCTTCTTCAAGACTGCTTCCTGGGACTCGTCTCTTCGCTTCTATTGGCAAAGATTGCTTTGTCTGCGTCGGTCCAGCGGTCGGTGTTGCCTTTATACGGCCTGTTCTTCTCGGCGAGCAGATTGCTAATATCTGCGTCGTCGTCCTCGTCATCGTCGTTGTCGAACCCGTCCCAGTGTTCACTACGTGCGCGTCCGAGTACGTCCAGGGTAATGGAGTTGGCAGCATTCCGCAGTTGACACCACGGAGTCTCTACAGTAGCGTTATCGTCTGAGGCCTGCAGGTCTTGCAGTCGTTAGGTCGGTTGATTGCTGGAATCGGAGTGGTGAGCAGGCCACTTCAACAGAACAGTATTCAACTTACCTGATGGTCGCTCACCTTATGGTCTCCTGTGAGGTTGCAGTCGGAGCCTCATCTTGGAGATGGCAAGGCGGTGGTCAGTTCAGTCGTCGGCGTCGCGGATCGCCTTGGTAACCAGCACACCCTGTCGATTTTGCCTCCGGACGAGAGCTTAGTCCAGCGGCTGCCAGCGCCGTGATTGGGGATGCATTCAGGTTGTCTTCTTCGCGTCAGAAAGCGGGAGATGGTGTTGGCCAAGAGGAGGCAGTATTCTGCGCAGGTTCGCAGGAGAAGGAGGCCTTTGTCGTTGCAGTCGCCAAGACCATGAGGACCCAACACTCCCCTTCAGACAGCGTGGTCTGTCTCGACGCAGGCATTGAAGTCACCAAGGTCAATCTGCTTGTCCGCCTTCGGCACAGTCGCCAGAAGGGCGTGCACGATCTCGTGGAATTTGTTCTTCGCCTCTTCGGAGTCGGTCGTTGCAGGAGAGTAGTCGTCGACGACAGTGGCGAAATTGGTTACTGGAAGAGAGACAGCTGAGGGTCATGAGGCGGTCATTGATGCTTTGTAGTGGATAGGACGGTCGTCTCATGATGCCTTTCCGGATGAAAAAAGTGATGCCAGCATCGCGTCGCTCTGCCTTTGGGCTGTCGGTTCAAAAAAAGGTGTGGCCGGCGCCTACCTTCTCCATTTGTTATGCCATGCCATGATCGGCAAACCATGACCCTCACGGCCTCATGTGCGCTGGCAGTTCTCTGGCACCTGGTTTCCAACCGGTAGATGCGCTTACGCTCCCTCTACGTATTGTGGTCGTGAGCATGGCTGCCCAGTCATCCGCCTCCTTCTGACTCGTTGTTGTGTTTTTTTATTAAAATGCTGGTCAAGTGTTTGTTGTGCTCCAGGGGGTGTGGTGGTATGCCTAGGTACGGGTTCGACCGCCCCATTCACCTGTGCTCTCCACCGTCTTCGGTCTTCTTGAATATGTCTTGACACCGGTCCCAGTTGGGGAGGGGGAGAGAGCGCGGTAGATGCTGCGCAAGACCGCCCTCACTAAAAACTACTTTACGCGCAAGTCGCCATGTCTGCTTCACCTCGCTGTGGACCACACGGTGGAGATCGCCGGTTACGACGCTTGAACTATTAGATTGACTGAATGCCTCAGCGATCGACATAGTTAACTGCTTTAGCACAAGACCATGCCTATTGGTTGTCACATAATTTAAAGTGTTTGTCTTGTCGATTTATTCGCATCGTTGTAGTCGTACGCTAACGCCAGCCCGAAAGCTCAATTGAACAAATTACTGTGTTTAGAGATCAAATCACAAAATTTAACACACAAATACATTTGCTTTAGGTTCACATTGATTCACTTATCTCAAACAACGTAGTGAATGATCGTCCTTGCTTTCTGAATTTTCTGAAGAGAACTCTGCAGAAGTGGTCTTCAGAAGGAGCTGATGACTCGGCAATTGGCAACTTGCTTCTAGATTGATGAGAAATCGTTGCCAGACTTCGTTAGGGATTTAAAAGTTATTGGCAGAACAAGACCGGTTTGGCTGGTCTGTGTCAGACTGGTCTCATAATCGCCAGCGTAGCCGTTCACAGATATCGTTTTTGGTTGTCCTTTTCAGCTGGATACCTGCGCCGCGCGCGACTCAGTCTCCGGCGTGACGACAGCTTGGCGCCGACCGACATTATGCTCTTCGGTAATTGGTCAAATGCGGACATGGCTCAAGCGCGCGTATGGACGTCGTGCCGGGGTTACGAACAACATCGACGGATTTTAAGCTTGACAGAGCTACTTGTACTCTCCCGGCCGGTGGAGAGATTGTCTTCCTAACCCTGCCTTCCTGACTCGTTTTGGGAAACTTCTCGTTGTTAACCCTACTTCTCAACAAGTTTACCGTTCTGTTTGCATTGATGGTGGAGAATTTGCAAGTGGCTTCCCTTCGTTTCATAGATGGAAATGAATTTTCAAAGCACAGTTTAGAGGCATTATCTTAATGCCGGTTTATATTCGTACACTATTGTGAGTTTCCTCACTTTCACATGCCGCTCAGCGATACATGACTTATGCGATCAATCAGCCTCCGGTCCTGTGATTGCGGCTGTATGCTGTGTGATGTTCATCGGTTAAAAAGGGAGGGGGGGAAAACAGGCAAGCTCGTTTCGAAATAGCGCCGTTAGGAGAGACTAGATAGATCCTAGTCACTCACGAAGAATACTTGAACAAACTTGTGATTTCAATCACTTAGGTCATCTCAGATGGAAGGCCTGGCAAATTTTACTTTGCCGTAAATCCCCTGTAATGTACTTCTTGACTAAACGCGCTCTACTTCTGTTGCCCTGTTGGGAAACAGACCGATGTCCACTCCTTGCATATTGCATGTCGGCAATGAAATTTCAAGCGCTCAACAAATTGCTACACTGAGAAGATTGCAGAGGCTTATTTGCTACAGTCGTTGGGAAAGTGAGGCTGGCAACTTGGAACTATAGATTACAATTAAAAATTAATTGGACACGGAAAAATATATCCTACGTGCTACACGTGGCCTCGCGCCAAATCCCAGGGGGTACCAATCCCTGAGCCCAAACTTTAACCCTAACCCCAATCCTAACACACTAATTTTAGCTCCAGAAATTTAGGCGAAATTCACCCAGCCCCGACCCCAAAAATTAGCGGTATATTCCTTACGCAAGCCTTGCGCGACCTCTTCACTTTTAACATTGGGGAACTTAAGGAACCGTCATTGCGTAGAACTGACACCGTCAGTCTTGAAGCAACCAAAGCAACCTCTTAATGTCCATGCCTCTAGCCCGACTTACGGCATCGAAAATCGCCACAGTCAGTTATACCATCAGATACCAAATTCACATCTCTTTAGGACGTAATATTATATAAAATAGGTCACAAATTAGCTTCGCAGTCCGCAGTACTTCCCGTTCCTTGATTGTTCGCTACTATGCGACCGCCTGCGTATGGTTCAGGTCGGAGCACAAACAAAACATAACATCCGTATTCCATCTAGCAATCAGGCCAGATCGGTGAACGCCACTTCTGTGTGATTTTTAATATTTTAACCACGGTCGACAAAACCTGGTCAAGTGTAGGGAGTGACGAGTGGTCGCTGGACCCTAACACACCTGTGCGGCAAATCTCATGTCGGGGGACGATGTAAGCAAGGTAGAGAACATAGAGATAGGTCACACGGGCGGTCGAAATGGAGCACGGATAGGAGCATACTTGACGTAAACCGGAGGCATATTCTTGCCGAGGTAGTCATCGACCAATCGGTTCACGCGTCAGGGTCAGCCGCGAAATAAGTCACCAATGACGGCGACAGGACTGACTGCTGACCGGCATAGTCGCTCTAGGGCCTATGGCAAAGTGGACACCTGCAGGCTTTTATATGCAGCCCTCCATTCCGGCCGGGCTGCAAATCGAGGCGGACCGACGTCATAAGCAACTGGCTAAGTTACTATAACGAACGAATCATGAGAGGAAACTCATCGCCCTCTGCGAGCAGTGCGAGGACAGGATAGGATGCTGTACTGGGCGTAGTACAAAAGAGGTGGGGGACTGGAATGGACAGGCAGTAGCGTTTACCTGTTGGGAAATTCCGCGGAGTCTGGGCTGGGAACTTCCTCCTTTCCTTTGTACCAGGTGCCGAATGGTCTTGGCATTTAGGACAATAACCTGAAACCGACTTTTCTACGAGGGTCGTAGCGGGCTCTACACATTCAGGCAACGCGCCCTTTCGACATTGGGACAGAAAATCGCTAACATTGGCAACCTTAGGCATGAGTTGTCTCGTTTTGTGTGACTTCACTGGATGACTGGGGATCACTAGAGAACACGAGCCAAAAACTCGTTTGAGAGGGCTAGTAAAAGCACCGCATTCGTTGAGACGGTTAAATAATTGTACATTGTTCTTTGAAGGTTTCCCGACATCTGTGCTATCTCAGGGCGGTAAGAATGTTTGGGTTCTGCGAAAAATGTCTGTGTAAATGTGGACGACATCTGTGCGGCGTGGGTCGACAACAACCAAAGCTGTCCTCCCCTAATTTTTCTCGAAAGATACCATGAGTCAGCAAAGAACCTGCGGGCATTTACCAGAATGCCACGAATCGTGTCTGTTGATTCTACTACTCATGATGTAGCAACTTTTCAGGGTTCTACACCAGCTGTGATCGTCTCTCACAAACTGTACCTCCAACGTTTGACACTGCAGCAACCGGCTTTTAGCGAAGCTGGTTATAGTTCCAGCCTCTCAGTAGTGGTACTTCTAGTGAATATCATGCGATATTTGACAGCAGGAACTTAGTACAAATTTCCAAAGCTCGGCCCTTTCGGTCGACGTTATCCTCTAGGCTATGATCGTTGCTTGTATTAATGAGGACATTCACTATAACTGATTTAGTTCTTTTCACGTCCCACTTGCTCCACACCGATACGATTACCCCCACTGCGGTCGATCGGCGGAAGACTCCGAGCACAGCTAAACCTGTCGACCTGCCAGCCCCGTAAACCGAAGACTACAGTGCCAGAAATGCAATCGCGGTCAGTTATTATCATGTTCACACACCTTGTCAGGTAGTCGCCTTGACGATGTCGTCAACTCGGCCGGCCTCAGTTGAGATAACACCCGGTGCGATTCTCCTCTCAGAAGGGCGCGAAACATGACCAAACCATCTCAGTCGGCGAGTTAGGAGGGTATAGATGACCAGTTCCATACTCAACTGCCTGGGAAGTCGCCCGTTAGAGGCGTGACCAGTAGAACTTGCACTTCAGACAGCATTCGTTTTAGGGTGTTATAAAAGGGACTTTATTTAGCATTCATTAGTCAAATGATTAGTCTCTTTACCTTTCTTTGGCTGACCGAGACCACATAGAGCCTTGGTTTAACTAACCATATCCAAAAGATCATGCAAATTTTAAAAACTATTGAAATCTTCAGCAAACAAGACAGGGCAACGTGACAGGTTTAAGGAGAAAAGTGGAGGCCTAACGCGTTAATCATCTGAATCTTTCAGAAATTCCGGTGACCATTTTCTGCTGTCCTTACCTACTTTTTCACTACATTGATCCGCCGTGCAAGCACTGACCCCCCCCCCCTCCCCATTTGGAGCAATTAATACAATTTTGGGCCACTGCGTTCTGAATGAGTGAAGGAAAGTGGTCTAAACCATAGTAGTTGAAAAGCAATTCCCTTGTTGGTAATTAGAATACTACCGTCTACTCAAATAAAGACAATACCAGCTGATTTGTTTTGAAGTGGTCGTGCAGAAATGAATTAACAACTATAGGAGAGAAAACCTAAACGAGAGATGTAGGAGGAGCATTGACGACCGTGACGAAAGCCCCAATCCTACGACGGAGCTTAGGACGGCCACTTTGTCAACAATCATGTCCAGTCCACGGCCAACGATGACCAAAGGTACAGTAGACTGCCACACTATTGCGTCTGAGAAGGATTCCTGTTTTGTGTTTAGGATGCCAGGCTAGTAAAATTGTGATTCCTCATATTATTTCGCTTCCTGGAGTTGTGGAGACACGTTTTTGCTCTAGTTCACTGTCTATTTTCTTGATTATTATCCAGGGGCAATATGGCAGTCTGAGATTTGGTAGACAGTCTTATCCGGACTATCATGTTATCGGGAAGATTATTTTATTTTCTTTTGAAACTATTTCGGGTTATCATTCGACATAATGGTTTTAGGAATACAGAGTCCGCCAAAAATTTGCGTTGCCAGGCAGGATTTGGGAACCAACGTTTGCATCAGAATTTCTATCCAGAGAGAGAGAGAGAGGAGAACGTTTTAAGTCGAAAGTACCATTCCAAAATTTTCGGCAAAACATCCTCCATTCACGTGGCCAGAATACAAACTACAAGATGATGAGAGAGGTAATAGATTTGAGTAAAGACGGTACAACTGTTCAGGCCTCAATTTCTGTATTTCGACCTTCACACTTTAGACATCGGGCCAGAGATGGTAATATTGACCGCTGGTATGCTGATGTATGGCAAGATATATGCCAGAAGGCACGGAGCATGGGTCGGATTGACTTTCAGTCATTAATTCAGAGTGAAGAGGATGGAGAACATCACCCAGAATTCGATCAGAAAACTGCTTGACCGTTATGAAATGTCGTATTGAGATATCAGCTAAAAAGGTACAAGGAACACTGGCAACAAAAGAGAGCATTTAGAGAACGAGTTTCAAAATGAGCATATTTTTTCAGCCAGTCAGGAGAAGTAACCGGAGAACAAAAAAGAATGATAGGGAGAATACAGTCATCTGAAAATCTCCAGGTTAGGGGTTGTGGTGTGTGATAGAAACGTAAACAACGAATATAATAGACATTTCTACGTATTTTGGTGAAAGTGGCTTTATTATGAAGGGAGAATGAGAGATTTGAGTGCAGAGTAACACCAACATACCGGAAAGATAATACTTCACCGGGAAGAATATCAAGGTATTCAGGGATAGGAAAGGGTTGTGGTCGAAAAACACACTCGATAGATCTCTGATCTTTAATCAGAAGTCCGTTTTCAAACGATCAAGCAAAGACATGATCCAAGCCATCCTTCAAGAGCTGAAGATGTCTGATTTTTAGTAGGGTGACCAACAACCACATCAGCTTACTTAACATATAAGTAGTCGTGGGGTGACCTCAGATCATTAATGATAAGTGAGAAGAGGTAGGGGGTAAGATGAAACCATAAAGGACTCCGGGGTTATAAGAAAGAGCAGTCGATTTCTGCTTGCTAGACCAGCCAAATTGGGTGTGGAAACCAAAAAAATCTTTCAGCCAATAAATAATCCGGTTAGGTGACCCGCACTCAGATGTTTTCATAAGAAGATGATGCGAGACTGTGTTGAAGGCAGAGGAGTAGTCAAAAGATGTGCATGCGTACGCAAGACAACCCTTCTCCAGCTTTCTCAGAGCAGAGTGGATTACAAGAGCGACAGTATCCGAGGTAATACGCTTGGCTTTATACGCAAATTGTAAAGGGTCGGAGAAATTGAAGAGGGCAATTTTTCCAGCGAGCTTCATGCTTGCGGAGAAACATGCATTTGGACAAAAGGACTTAGGATCAGAACTAGCAGTCTTCTTAAAAATGGAATCGATTCTTACTGTACAGCAAATGTCAGGCATCATTGACCCTGTGAAGGACATGTTAATAAGATGTGCTGAAGCAGATGCTATCTGAGAAGTACATGACTTAAAGAGAAATGGGGTGACACCATCCGGCCCGGCGGCTTTTGACCCACGGACTTCATGAAGATATTTCTCGACCGTAAACACAGACAAAGGACATAAGACACATGGTTAAATCGATATGTCGTTTAAGGGAGGATTGGAATCATTGAGAGCAAGGATAAAATTGGCGTAAACATGTGTTTGGTATGCTTCGTTGGCCAGTGAGACGTTTAACTTTCCATTACATGTCAGTAGAGGAAAAAGGAAATGAATGGGTGGAAGAAGAAGAAGAAGAAGAAGAAGAAGAAGAAGGAGGAGGAGGAGGAGGAGGAGGAGGAGGAGGAGGAGGAGGAGAAAGAAGCTGACTAGCAAATACGTCGTCCAGTTTGGCAGTCCCTCTTTCTAGTGGAACGTTAACTTCCTTTAGACTGTCATGTAGGCTTAGTTGGTAGAGGAGTTCCCTTTGTCGCCTTGAAAATTTGATGCATGGGGAAAAAATTTTGCCAGGTCTAACCATAACAGGTTCAAGAAGATAACAGATATCAAAATTTCATTTAAAAATGTTTTGAGGTAACTTGAACACTACTCGACATTCGACATTGTAAGAACAGTGGGGTGATAGTAGCTTTCGAACTCTGAAACAAATAAATATTTTGTGGGAATTTGTCCCGAACCGTAAACTTCCTCTTTGGTTTGGTTATCAATTCACGCTTAGAAGTTGAGTAGATTTCGGAAGGCCTGATGACACTGAGCGATATGGAACGGACAGCGGAACTTTATTTGTAACACGAAGAAGCTTTGGGTGGTCAATAAAAGTGTGATCAGGAAGGGTGTTGGCACGAGTATTGAAGGAAACAAGGTTATCCAAGCCTAAAATAGTAATGGTGCGTAGGTTGGCACGGTTATAATCGCCCCATACCAGAATAAGATGATCATAAGACAATAAACAGTTTATTCAAAAGAAAGTTGGAACATCGGACATACCTAAAATTAGATTGTCATGGCTTAAGAACACCTCTCACCAATGTCACCCGGTTTCGGGCGAAACAAGCCAAACGACAAGCAAGAATGTACGCGCGCTGCTGTCAGAATCGCAGCTGCCACTAAAAACCCTAATATATTTGACCCCAAATCCTTCCTCCCAGCTGCTTGTTCGTTCACATTGCTGAAGCCCATTGAACGAGTGGACCTAGGTACTTTATAGCCGTGCCCCCCTCCCCCCCCCAATTTCTCAGAACACCCATAGTTTGAATATAAAGCCAGGCGAAATACCAAAGATGGCATTGAACCCACGATCCACACTGCTCCCAAGGGCCTAGACGTAGGTTGTCGTGCTTACGCATGCGAATTTCTCTCTTACTTCACTGTCTCCCATATTATTCCAAATTGTCTTCTAAAGAAAACTGCTCAATGCTGTTCTTCCAGCTAGACAGTAGGTAGGTTTGCAAGTTGCTTCTTTTCGAGTCCAACTTGTCTAGTCACGCGACCGTAAATCTGTTCTTATTCCAGATAACTATAGAGTACTTTAAGGTTCCATCTTCTTCTTGTCTTAACTCTTTTTGGTTCACAACGACTGCCCATGTGCTAAGTATGTTGACGATACAATCGTTGGCCACTCTGCAAAAATGAGATTGATCTTTAATTTTCTAAGAAGGACTTAAATCATGTTTCGTCCTAATCTTCTGCATAAACGCCAGAAAACAATCTGATATGTTTCTTGAATGCGACCATCTCCCAATCCTGAATCCTCTCATACTCTTCCAACGTAGTGTCATCTTTCCGGTACCTTTCCGTTCTTGCCTCTAAGAAAACTTGAAAACATGTTAGCTGAACTTTACATTTACGTCCTCTCCCCACCTCTTAAGCGACTGTACTCCTCCACTGCTCTCCGGCCACTTTCCTGTTTCATTAAAATTGGACATTTTCATCCTAAGACACACCTTATGCATGTTCTCTTCTGTTGTCGGTGTTTCTTCTCTCTTTCTAGTCGATGCCACGATATAACAAGTTATAACAATCGTTAGTTGAATTCACGAGGCTGCTGTCCACCTACTTCGCTGTGACCTGCTTGCTGAGGTCACTCTGTCCACTCCGACACGGCTGGTGTCATCTCCTACCGTACGTAAACGTATCAAAAATCAGCTATACCATCCCAGTCACGACTTCTGATGTGTAGTGAGACCTAAATGCGGATGCTGATATCAGTTTTTTTCGCCACTTTTGTCATGCCATTCTTCTCTCTCTCTCTCTCTCTCTCTCTCTCTCTCTCTCTCTCTCTCTCTCTCTCTCTCTCTCTCTCTCTCTCTCTCTCTCTCTCTCTCTCTCTCGGCCTTATGGTAATTTTCATTCTAGCCGTAGTGATTGGAGGACCGTTTGCCCTAAATTTTGCGGTTGTTTTTCCAACATTTATCTCTCGCTCTCCCTCCCTTTCGTGCCTATCCTTGTTTCCGGCTGACTCTCCTTCCATCATCCTCTCGTTCACTTTCTCTCTTTCCCCCTCTCTGGTGAAGGCGTACGCTAGGTCGACGAGCGGTGCCTTCAATATGTACACACAAGCGTCATGTCGCAGGAATGAATCATCGTGCCCTTGAGTGGGGGCGACACCAGCGCTCGTGGCAAGCGTTCACATGCAGATTAACGATAAGGACAAATGATGCCCGCGCTGCAGAATCGCGTGCGCACTCGCAACGACGACCATTTAAGGCAGCTATCATATCTGCTGTTCGATCGTTTGGCAGGCAGCCAATCGGAGTGGCGCGTGTTCAAGCCTTGCAGCACCACATCGCGAGAGAAACAGCTGTAGCCGCCAGGCCAGTTTGTCTCAGTGTAACACCGAGCGCAGCACCGCTGGATGTTAACGCCACACCTAGGCAAGACAGAGGCAGCTGTTCCCAAGCCAGGAACTGCCCACCAGTAGGAGGGAAGTGCCGTTTGGCTCGTGCTTCCTCGTTTTATGACGTATTGAAGGACTAGGCAAACATCTTGTCGCTATTTTTCCTCGGTTAGTTTAAGGAAGTCAGACATAAGGAAGACGCACCGTAGAAAATGGAAAATGTGAAAAGCCATTCCAGGATAAAGAGCAGAATTATTTATTTCACCGATTGTATTGACCACCTTCGCTTTCTGCTTGCAGTACTGACAGTAGGAATTCATCAGGGATTGTTTTAATTAAGCTTGCCAGGAATCACCTGAGAGATGGTTTGCTGGCTGTTGAGACTGCGTCGGCAAGGGTTGAATTCGTCGAGCCTTGAGCCCCAAGATGACTCTAACGTTCCCCTTAGCCTTCATCGTTTTCCATTCACACATTGACACAACGTCCTCTGGGATCACTCGATAAATACTTTCAGCGATATCCCATTAATCAGTAAAACGTTGACGAGAGAACAGGTTGACAACCGCGAACGACGATATCCACAGTGTGCTCGGTAGCACGATGGGCGCAGGACCGTGACCATCACGGCGTCTGTCTCACTGTCGGCACCCTCACCTAACGGGGATCGGACAAAAACCGAGTCAAGACGACCGGAGGCGGGCATGTGCGTAGTGGTTTAGAAAAGTAAGCAGCACATCTACTTGTGCCACACACAACCTGGTCCCGTCGCGGTGTACCAGACTTTCACGAAATAAAAGGGTCGGCCTGGATCTCAAATGGGTGAGCATACCATGAAGGACATAGAGAGAGAGAGAGAGGGAGAGAGAGATTCGCTTTATTTTGAAAATATATATTCAAAATTTTCAGCAAAAAGGTACTCCATTCACTGTGGAGATAATATAAGTTAGCAAACTAGTCGAGAGTCAAAAAGGTTTACACAGAAAGCAACAACAAGAACGGGACAACTCAAGTCTTGATTTCCGTATTTCGGCCTCTTCACACGTGAGATAGCGTGTCAGGAATGGCAATACATAGTTCCGATATGCCGATGCACGGCAAGGGATACGTCGAAAGCCACGGCGCATAGTGCTCGAGGACTTCGCAGATATTAGTTCAGAATGTAGGGGATGGGCAACGTCGTCCAGAATCCGACCAGAAAGTTGCTAGACTGTTTTGAAATGCGGTTGCATGTTAATATAGACTAAAAAGACATAGGAGACGCCAGCAGCAGAAGAGAGCATTCGAAGGGCTCGTTTTAAAATTAAATTATCTTTCTTAAGCAAAGCAGGAAAATTGTGGGAAAACAATAAGGAATGAGAGGAAGAATGCAGGCAACTATGAATCTCCAGTTAAAGGGTTGAGGTGTGTGGTAGGAGCGTAAACGACGAAGTCTCCGCACTTAAGTGAAAAGAGTCTTAATATGGAAGAAAAATGAGAGATTTGACGAAAAAGTAACACGAAGGTACCTGAAAGTGGATACCACGTTGGGAAGGATGTCCAAGGATTCAGGACCAGGACAGGATCGCAGCCGGAAAACACATTGGACGGATTTCTGATCATTCAATAGGAGACCATTTTCCTGCGACCATACAGAGGCATGATCAAGGCCATCCTTCGGAGACCGGAGATGTGTCTGATTTTTGAGAGGGTGACCTACAACCACATCGTCTGCATACTTGGCAAACAAATAATCCTTCGGGTATCTTAGATCATCAAACGGCTAAGAAGAAGCCATTGCGCCTGACAATCTGACTTCGGACTAGCCATCCAAAATACTCACACAATACTTACCTCGAAGACCGGATTAGGTCTCGAGTTTACTAAAAAGCACGCCCATGCGTGTCACATACGATGAATCAGGCTGTCACAAAAAAGCAGGGGCCTGGATCTCAACTGACTGGGAGTGCCATAAAGGCCACATTGCGAAGAAACATCTATTGTCTGATTCTTTGTCCTGACAGGCATACCACCGCCGCCCCTGGTCCAGCACCAAAAAAAACTGACCAGGATTTTGCACAATAAGAACAGGAGACGGCCCGGATCCCACCTGAGTGCGAGTGACATACAGCCCACACTAAGAAGTCGCTGTAGTCTGACTCTCTATCTTCCGAGGAGGACCGAGTTAACCCATCCGTTGGTAGTCCTCCAGGCCACGGACTTTATCTTACCGCGATACTTGGGAAGGGTGTCAGATTGTTTATACTGAGGAATATGCGCTGAAACTGGTGACATCACTCTTTCTTTCCACTTCCGAGCACCAGTCTGCAGTACGAACCGGTCAATTGTTTAATGCGGGAAGTGGGCGCAGTAGCTGACGGGGCTAAGAACAGACCGTCTGTGCGTGCCGCACATACGACCTGACCCCCCATACGCACACGCGGGGATTTCACACAGGGGGTAGACTGCACAGATGTCAGATGTAACAGAGGAGCCATATAAAGATGGAGCCGAAGAATACACTTCTCACTTACGTGAGAGGTGTCTGCGTTGTGCGATG